TCTCCCTAGTGTGGTGCTGGATGCTCTCCAGTTTGCTTTTACCAGATCCTACAGAGGTGGATCAGCTTTCTGCATCACTAGCCATCTGCAAAGGTTCGCACTCACCTCTCTTGCGAGAGCACACGGGGAGCCGACCATGAGGTGGAGGTGTGTGGGTAAGACCAGTGAACGTAGAGGGTGCCCAGGGGCTAGCTGGGGAGATTCGCAGGTGAGGTGTCCCCAGTGATTCACAGATAAGACTTCTGATGGAGACTGTGAGGCAATTAGTAGAATCTGTGTTCCTCTGATTGTCTCTAAGCCTTACCTGCTGTTCTCCCCACGCTTCCCCACCCCTCAGTTGTGCAGTACATCTCAGTATTCTGGCCGGGGCAAGAGGGAAGTGGGCCTTTTTGGCAGCATCATACACAGCTGGGGAAGCTGGGTGCTCACTCACATGCTCCCACTTTCACCGTGGGCAAAGTCCCCGGCCAAAAGGGTCTCTCCTGACACTGAGCTGTGCTGCCTTGGTGAAGGGATGATGTATGTAAAGTGAAGCTGTTCCTCTTAACCCTCTTAAATGTATCCAGTCTTGGAATTTTTGGATCCAGTGTGGTGCTGGAACTTCTCTACTGGACTCCAGGAGTTCCACGTGCTATTATCATCCGTGGGTGATTGTCAAAATCGGTGTTCTTTGGGGCAAAGATGGTAGAAAAGTCCTAGATCACCTTTTTGCTGATACCACTTCTCTAAAGCCTCCCAACACAATTTATTGAATCATTCTTTCCTTACTGAAAATTGGGAATTGATAATAAATTCTATCAATAAGATCATTTTTATTTTACTAGTGTTAGGCATTGTACTAATTTACTTTCTCTTTTTTTTTTTTTAGCGGCACACCAGGCTCAGCGGCCATGGCTCATGGGCCCAACCGCTCCGCGGCATGTGGGATCTTCCCAGACTGGGGCACGAACCCGTGTTCCCTGCATCGGCAGGTGGACTCTCAACCACTGCGCCATCAGGGAAGCCCCTAATTTACTTTCTAATGGTAAGTCATTGTTCAGTGATTAAGTAAATCTTATTTAGGGACAGGATATTTTTCTTAGTTTAGTGCTACACAAAACTTGCTAATATTTGACTCAGGTCTGTAGTTCCTGTGCTTGTATGTATGTCTGTGTGTGTACTCATATTATTGTTGAGTAGCCATCAGTCTTACAAATATGTATACAATTTATATAGACTTAAAATGGTTAATAACTCATATTCTTATTTAAAATAATTTAAATGCTTGGAATTTATCAGTTCCTTAATGATTTTATTTCAATCAACCAGAAATCCATCGAGCCTAAGTGATTTTTCTGAAAGATGTCAAAAATCCTTTAAAAATGTTTTCTATGTTTATTAATTTGGGAATTCAATCTCTCAAAGACAAATTTGATACTTAAAAATATTATTTATCCTATTGAAAAATTTTTATTTATCACCACAGAGCTATGTATATTAAATGCTTATATTTTAACCTCTTCTATATCTGTGGTTATATCACACTTCTCTGATTCCTAATATTGTATGTTTGCAATTTTTCTATTTTTTCTCAGTCTTGCCAGAAGAGAAAAACACTATTGGGCTTTGTCACTTAAAAAGTTAATATTAATTTATGTTCCTATTTTCTGAATGACTTTCGGCTTTGGAAGATTTGTTCTTTTTTATATTTTTTCTAACTTCTTGATTTTATGTATTTAAATATTAAAAGTATTTCCGTCTGAATATAGCTTTGGCCACATCTCATAAGTTTTCATGAATAGTGTTCTAATTATTTCATCATCATGAATTTCTTAATAACTTATGATTGCAATTTTTATTTCTTCTTTGGCCCACAAGTAGTTTAAAAAGTATTTCACCACATATCCTTTTAATAGAAACTTGGGTCATTGTTAAATTGTTTTTGTGCATTATTATCTGAATATGTATTTTACAACTTCTGTTTTATGTGATTTAGGCATTATTTTTCACTCTTGTTGGGGAATCTTATTATATGATATATTCTTATACATGTGCCGTGAGCACAGGAAAACATGATTGTATGTTGACATTATAAAACTTTAACATTCTTCTATATAAATTATCCTGATTTGTTGTATTGTTCATGTTATCTATATTAGTGGGTACCCGGAAGTTTGTCATAATAACATTCAATGCTTTTTAAAATACAAATTTCCAAGAACCACACATGCTCTTCCTAAATCAAAGTACCTAAGGATTGCTTCCAGGATTATTTATTAAAAGCTTGCCTCATGGCTCATAATGAAGTTGGGTTTTGCTCGTTTGTTTGTTTTTGTTTTGTTTTTCCTCTACTTCACTTGTACATATTTTCCCCAGCAGCTGATATAAGAATTTCTCCTAAGGAGGATTTTTAGAGAGCAAACATTTTTCAAAGCTTATTTAGTGGTTGGTCCTCCAACAGCCATGCATGCGTGAAAGCCTAAAGTTGTGATAAATAAGAGTTAAAATGATCTGCATAAGACATGACACAAGATTTAGGATTATGGGGGGAAAGTTCATCAGCTCTAGAAGGCTTTCTAGTGGGCAGTTGTGAGATGCAGTTTTTTAATAGAGGGGTCATTGTTTCCTTCCAGTGAGAAGGTGCAATTTGAGCAAAGAGAAGAAAGAGACAAAAGACTTATCCTCGTGAACCTGTGGGGGAATTAGCAGTGTGGATATCAGCTGTAACAGAAAGCCTGGAATGATCTTCCAGGCTGAGAAAACAGGTATGCTTGGGAAATAGGAAAAAGCCAGAATGACAGAGCATAGTGAGTACAGGCAAGTGTATGTATGATTGAGGCAAGGAGGGAATGACTTGAGGTCATCCTGAGAACTTTGCCTTTTATGCTGACCAGATGGAGAGTTTGAGCAAAGGAGTCATATGACCTGACTTATTTTTAAAGGATCACATTAGTTAATGCATTGAAAATGGACCCAAGTGGGGTGGGACTAAAGGTAGGGAAATCAGCAGGAGACTCTACTGTGGAAATCCAAGAGAGCAATAATAGTGCTCAAATTGGGGCTGTGGTAGAGAATCAGGTGATAACGAGCCAGATTCTGGGTTGATTTTCAAAGTATATCCAATAGAGGTACTGAATATCGCTATGGACCCACAAGGAGCTGTAAAGTCAGCGTAGCTCCTTGTATCTGACTCAGCCCCCATTGGCTGCCTCCCCACCCTTCTGTGACCATGTTACTTGCTTTGATCCTGTGAGTGGAAGGGACATGGCTCACATCCTCCTGGAAGATTTAAGAGCCTGTCATGCTGCTTCATATTCCTTTTCTTCTGCTGTCACAACCAGCAGCATTCTAGAGAGCGGTTCCTTGATCAGCCTGGGCACAGAGTGAGGTTGATGCCAATATTGTGCAGCTTGTGGGGGGACCTGTGATAGATGTACAGCAGGTGAAAGAAATAACCCTTCCTTTTTAAACTATCAACTGTTTCCAGCAATAACTTGCAAATTACAATATAACTAATGAGCTTATATTCTAAGATCCGAAAAGCTGTAAAAATGTAAAATATTAGTAGCATGTGTTGGAGACTACTGGCTGCATCTGACAATGTTCTACAAAAAGAGATGAGCTTAAAACGAATTTGCCGACTAGCAAACAGAAATGAAAGGGGATGAAGGGAGTGGAAGAATTTGGTGATTTTTAGGGTTAGAAGAGGTAACTGCTTTTTACCACCTACCAGTACGTAAACTTGAGAATGTCTTTGAGCAAAGAAAGCCTTTTGGCAAGGATAAAATCAACAGTAAGCCCCTCAATCCCACTGTTACTACCTCTGGATGGATTATGAGGGTATACAATTAATTTAGCAGAAAATGTCTCAGGAAAAAAATGCAGCTTTCCCACCAGTGCTTAATAAACTCAGGGCATCTGCAATTAAGTCATGTCTCAAAAAGAACTGTAAGTATGGCTATTGGCACATGAAACTGACTGGAATCAAATAAATAAAAAGGCTGCCAAAGCTTTCGAGACAGTCGTACTTCCAAAAATAGCACTAAACTCAAAAAAAAAAAAAGAATTAAAATTAAAGAAAAAACAAAACTGTGATTGAGGCTTTAAATAACCTTGAGGCGCCAAGGATCAGGAAGCAGTTTGACAAACCGCTTAGACTCCAGGAAGGGAGGATGCTCTAAAGCCCCCTTCGGAAGTAACTAAAGACCGTAACGTCAGAGGCAGGAGTTCTCAGAAGGTGGAGCCACCAGTCCCAGAGAAGAGTGAGCTGGGGGAACCTACCCCACAAGGCAGAATCGAGGGCCAATCAATACATTTCCTACAACCAAAGGTGTAGACCTTCCCGACTGCCTGTGGGCTCTCAGAATGGCTCTGGACCAATGATTGTCTTGTCCCCCCCCCTTTTTTTTAATTGACGTATAGTTGCTTTACAATATTATGTGTTTTAGGTATACAACAACATAGTGATTCACAATTTTTAAAGTACATCCTTTTTGAATCAAAATAGCTACGTTGACTCAGTCTCTGCTCCACCACCATATATTCGGTGCATGGGGTACTTAATAACTTACGTTAGTGTTTATAGATTTCTCCATCAAGTAAAGCTATGTTCACACCTAATATCACACCTGGTATCACCTCTTCCTATTGTGCATCATCACGCATCTTAATTTATTATTGTGAAAGATTTCAAACATACTCAAAAGTTAAAAAAAAATGTATCTAATGTACTCCCTAAATATCCATTTACCTAGATCCAATATTCCTTTTCACGTTGTGTTCTTTTCTCTAAATTCTCATTCTTCCTCTGTTGTCAGTAAGTCTTTCTTAGTAGTGTGCAATTTAATCATAGGGTGTCCCTGATTAACATAGACCTATGAGCTACATTAGTTAATGGAGTCTGATACCAACATGAAAATAGACAATAAATCAATGCAACAACAACACTTTCCAGGAAAAAGAAATATGTAACTTGTCTGTGCTTATTATTATATATAATAAGACTGGCATTTCAAAATATGAGACACGATAAACTATTTAATATACCATGTTAAGACAACAAAGAAAAAACTTTACAGATTAAACTACAAAAAACATAGAATTTGTATGCCAAAATATATATTAAAGCAACCTAAACAACTTGCAACCTTGGTACATTTTGGTGACAGTTTCACTGTAAGATTCATTGCACTCAGTATACAAAAAGCTATTATAAGTCAATAAGAAAGTGTGACTTCCAATAGTAAAACTATAAATTTTCATTAATCGTGCAAAATAAATCACATTACTAATGAAATGTTTTTCACCTTTTCAGTAAGAAAGTATTTTTACCATTAACGTCCATTACTAGCAGTAGTCTGGAGAAAGAGTTTACTTCAATTACCATTTGTGCTTGAAATGGAAACTAGTACAAGATTCCTGAAATAAAATTAATATGTATTAAAAATTAAAGTGGGCTACCCATTGATATGATAATCTTACTTCAAGAAAGTTATTTCTTTCCTTTCATTCCTTCTTATTCCCTTCCATTCTTCCATCATTTTTTCTTTCCCTCTCCCTTCTTTTTTCCTGTCTCTCATTAATTTGCTTAGCCAATCACAATAGCTAATACGTTCCCTTCATCCTCCCTGTTATTCCTCACAACAATCCTGTGAAGCGGACACTGATAAAACCCCATATAAGAAGTCAGTTAGAACTACTTTTGATGCCTTCATGAGGAGATGGTCAAGAAGACCATGCTACACACTCACGTCAAGCATAGAATCAGTTGAATAACTGAAGCAGGGCAATCAAGGCCATTCAGAGAAAGGCTGGATTGAAAATACATAGCTTTGGAAGAAAAAGAATCTTTGGTACATTAGCTGATAATCATCTGTCTCTTGGAGCTCAGCCGGTACCCTTTTAAGCTCCCTTCCTGACCAGGCAGCTCTCACATCCCATGTGGTCAGCTTTGGATCAGGTGAGGTCTTTTGTGAGGTAGCCTTTTCCTGCCACTGGGGTGGACAGAGTGCATCAGATATTCAGAAATTGAGATATTCTCTCCAGTCATGTAATCTCAAAACCACATGTACCAAATATGTCACTGAATTAGCAAATAATGTTTGCCAGCTCTCAGTGAGAGTGTGTAACTTGTCCAACATCACATAGTTAATAAGTTATAGAGAAGGGCTTCAACCTGGATCTAACTTCAGAGCCCCAGCTCTTAATCATTATACTGTACTATCTCATTTATGTATGTATGTACTTATTTATTCATTCATTCATTCATCCATTGATCATACAATTACTGAGTTCTTATCATGACTCAAATATTGGAGAGGTTATTTTTAAGGAACTTATACCATTTTAGAAAAGATTTTAGAAAAGATTTTAGAAAATTTTAGAAAAGATTTCCTGCTCATCCCAGGGTTTAAACAGATTAAGAAAATCAATAATGGAAGAGTCTCTAAATTCCACTCTCTCCTGGTCCTGCAAATGTCCTCATTGTTCAAGATCAAGCAGACCCTCTGCCCACCAGATCTCTGTGTTCATGCTACAACACCAGTGTCTCACTATGTAATACAAATATTTGATCCTATTTAAAACATTGTAGGCATTGCTAGAGTAGGCAAAACAATAATTGTTTGTGTGGGTTAGTGGAACTTTTCCTGAATCTCTGAACGGAGTACCCAGGGTTACCTTCCTCACCCTTGAGTATGTCCGCACCCCTCTCCCCAACACCTCCCCAGTCACAAAAAGGAAAATATGTGTAAATGCACTGTATTCAAAATAAAAGAATTTATATTAAAAAAAAGAGATGAGGCTTACTTGATTTCACTCAGTCAACTACTATTTAGTTAAGCCTTCTCATTGGCCAAGGCTCTGAGCTGTTATAATTGGCAGGTTCTTGCAAGGACCTCAAACCCAGTAAGGGCTATTTTCAAGCTACTGGAAGGAATTCCTAGTGGTGATAGTAATGAGAGTTCTCACTTGCAGGGGTGATTTTCCCACGCCTAGAGGTGTTTAAGATTGAGCGAGATGGCCAGCTGGAATTTGTGCTTCACATAGGTAATGGGACCAGATGAAATTATATATAAATATAGTGTGTGTATGTGTGTACGGAGATGTGAGTGTGAATTCTCAGTGACTACAAAAGACCATTGTAGAGATGTCTTGAATAGGTACTTATAAAATGGAAATGTCATAATGCCATCCAGGTTTTTTCCTTTGCTTATCCAACCATTATCAGTGGATTTATTTAATAAAACTGAGGACCAAGAAAGACTGGAAATACAGCCTCCAATAGAACGCTCTCATGCTGTGATTGTTGAAGTGATAAGTAATTTGCTTTTAATGCCAGCACATACCACTTAGCACCATATTTAACTGAAGGATGAAAATCACTCATTTGTCATCTACTTGCTTAACTGACAGTGTAATCTATCTATTGTCACTGAGCTTAGTACAAGGAAAATTGAATAGATCTCATTTTTAAATTTACAGCAGCATTTAAATGTTTAATTCCTTCTTATTTATATTTTTATTCCTTAATAAATTTTAATTTCAAATGGATAATCTATTTGGACAATAAGAGCACAGTAGGTACTAGCAAAAATGATCTATTAAAAGTATTTTTTTTTTACTGTTTTCAATTATAACCATAGTTTGTATTGTGTATTATCTCTATGTGAGGAAAAATATCAATGTGAATGATACAAGTCAGTGAGAAACTACAATACTAGAAAAGAAGTTATCAGTGAAATAATCAAAAAAATGCATGAGTTTATAGATAAAGGAAAGCTTATTTTACTAGTAGATTCTTGAAAAATAATTATTAGTATTGTAATTATCCTCAATATACTGAGAAAAAATAACTGACTTTACAGAGCTATATAGTCCCCTATAAACCTATCTTGAATTTTGAAATAACACTTTGCACGGTATATGAATATGTGTACACTGCTAATGGAATATTACACTGAAGATGTTCGTTAGAACTCTGTTCTTGCGGAGCATCTACTAACAAAGGCCATCCCCATCCCTCCTTATCCATGGGATTATTGTTTGCAATTCATAAAGGGCCACAGAAATGAGAGGAATTGATTATAAGAATAAAAGGTCCTTTTTTCCTCCATTTATTTTTCTATTAAGAAACTAACCCTACATGTACATCCAAAAAAAATCTAAATCAAATAGTTTGTTTCAATGCCAATGCAAATGTGGTATTTACTTCAGAGATAAGATAGTACCCAAATCTTATTTCAACATTGGACTAAGTTACTGCACTGAGTCTGTGAACATTAGAATGGGCCTTCTCAACAGGAAAGAACTCTTGAAAGAACATGTTAGTAAATCTCTATCCACCACACTACACACTACACACACACACACACACACACACACACACACACACAATATGTTAATGAAAGTGTTAGACTCCTATGTTGAAGCTCTGTAAGATCAGTCCAATGGCAAGGAAAACAACTATAAAACAACTAGAGCAACAAAACGTTCTGTAGACTTGATTTTAAAATACTGAACAACTCCTGCTTTGCAGTAATGTGGCAGGAGACTTTTTGGATTAGGAAATACACTATGGCCATGGGCATCCTTTAGGGGCAAGAAAATATTGTTTTTCTGAATTATACCAATGCTTTCATTGGGACCACCAGTCCCTAAAGAAAACACACAAAAAAGAAAAGTATCAACTGATTGCTGACCTCTGCATGGTTCATTCAATTCACTGCTGTACAACACACTAAATATCAAGTGAAGTGAAACCTGGCTTATCAGTTTATGCTTTCATCCAATGAAAATTGACAGAACACTTACTAGTTCAAAGAGCAGTACTGAGGACTGGGGCAGGTACCACTAATTAAAGCAGACAGTGATCCCTGCCCTTGAAGAGCTTACATTTTAGTGAGAAAAGCATAAATAATAAAAGTGACAGGGGAGTTCCCTGGCTGTCCAGTGGTTAGGACTCTGTGCTTCCACTGCAGGGAGTGCGAGGGAGTTTGATCCCTGGTCGGGGAAGGAAGATCCTTCATGCCGCACGGTGCAGCCAAAAAAAAAAGTGACAGACCTATAAAATCAATAGGTGTTTTTATTAACTCAGTTAAGCAAATGATGGTTCAGTGAAAAACTTACCAAATCACTTGTTCAACTACATTTGCTTTATCAACTTGCCCTAATAATCTAATGAAATACAGTTTAGGAGGCAGAAATCTACTTATATGTATACATTTATCCTTCTCAGTCTATTTTGTATTGATACAGATCTATCATAGAACTTACTTTACTGTATCCAGCCCCATTTTTTCAGGGGGAGGGATGGGCTTCTTATTTATACTATAAATGATAACACCTGGCCCTAATCCCTTCCCCCACCTCTCCTTCACACCATCTTCCCAACAGGAAATGTTTATTGGGCCCCTGCATAGGGCCAAGAATCGTTCTAAGCTCTGTTAATAAGAAGATACATTTGAAAAATTCTCCACACAGGTAATTCATGCTCCAATGGGGAAGGCAGAGCATGTAGTTAGAATAGAAAGCTATTCGGTGAAAGTGGAGGTGAGTACCTGATGACCAGAGCTACGACCAGGTAATTATACTTGCAAGTGTGGAGGGGAGGAATGCAAGAAGTCATTGACACTGACAGTCCCATATCATTTTGAAGGAAGAGTCTAGTTTCCTGAGGTGTGCAGGTGCAAGAATTTAAGCCATTAAAACCTATTTAGAATGTTCACTAGTTTCTGTGAAGTTGAGATCTGTTGTCAGAGATGTTAATAAATGTTGATCTGCCTTCAATAAGAGCTATAGAGGATGAAAAATATAGACAGTATATGCATATGCTAATTTCTGCCAATAGAGGGAACATCTAGTGTAATTCAATGTCTTATGTAAGACTGAAGATATCCTTATAGTTAGACAATAATTAAAGATGAGGACTGAAAAATCACCAGGATGGGATGTGTTTATGTTTCCCAGTTATAGGTATCAAATTTGACCTCTCTAATAAACACTGCTTTTTGTTTGAGAGAGGTGACTGTTAAAACACCTGCTTACCCTTCCTTAAAAACGCAGAGGAGGACCAGAGGGCCTAGATAGCCTCTGTATTTATTGCTCTATAATGAGGACAAATGATTCTTAAAGATGCAGGATTTTTTTATAACCCATCAACCCTCTGACAGTTCCTTGTCCTCTTGTGATCCTAAGTCCTATTCCAAACCTTCAGTTGAAAAAAGGAAAGCAAGGGAGTAAAGACAAAAAGGAATAGTCAAAGGAATAGTCTACTTTGGTCCTTTTAGAAAGAGCTAAGGTGGATGAGGGGAGCCCGAATGGGAGCCAGCCAGTTTGGGGCTGTTTGTTGATATCTTAGAATACAAAGCATTTGTGCTGTAAAACAACTAATTTAAGTGACTTGATTTTTTTTATTATGTAATTTTTCCATGTTTTTCCTTGAAATTTCTTCTAGAAAAAAAATGTGAAATTTTATGCTAAGTGAAGGGGAAAGGGGATTTATTTAGGCTTGGTTATATCATCTTCTAGCCATTCCCCTTATTCCCTCCAAAGGAAAGAGTACTGCTGTGGGAGAGTGTGAACAATGATATTCTATCTCTCTTCATACTTCACAGGAGCCAAGTAGCTCTTTCTAAGCTAATGAAGATGAGTCTATGTTCTCTGAAAACATATTTGGGACAATCACGACGTCCAGCTGTTGTTTCCAGTACTGGTTACTGACTTCTGGTAAAGGACATATTATAAGGCCGTAGATTGAAAAGGAAGTTGAACTTAGTCTTCTCACCATGACTTGTGCACCACTGTGGACCTTTAAGAAAGCAAGAAGGAAGAAGCACTTCTAAGTTGAGGCACTCAGGTACAGCAACGAGAAAAATATTTAACCAGGGGAAAATACCTTTTTGTTTTAATGGATTCTTTTCAATCCTCTTGATTTAATATCTGAGGAGTCTTCCAGTGCACTGTCCATTTCACTTAGATGCTCCTGAATAGCCGTGACCACTTCACTGGGGATAAACTTTAAGCCACTGATATCACCAAACACCTGAAAAGTGATGACAAAATGGCACATGTTAACTTACCACACTTCAAGGAAATATTTAGGCAGAATGAGCAAAACCTGTGATTTTTCCCCTGAAAAAAAATTACAGCTTGGAAATGCCCTGAAATGCCATTATAGTTAACCTAATTCCACATTTTAACAGGAGTTTTCAATTTAGGTTTTATGGTTTGGTTCCATTTCTTTCTTCTTCTTCTTTTTTTTTTTTTTACATCTTTATTGGAGTATAATTGCTTTACAATGGTGTGTTAGTTTCTGCTGTATAACAAAGTGAATCAGCTATATGTGTACATATATTTCCCATTTCTTTCTGACTTTAACAGTAATTTAATAATACAGCAAAAATATAAATAAGCATTTGTATAATGTTTAGTAATACAGAGCACAGAGTCATAATTAGCAATTTAAACACATGTGAAAAGTGAATTATCCTAATCTTACAGAAACCAAAAAATATCAAAACAAAATACAAGACTGGGATTTTCTTTTTTGCAATTAATAACTTTCGTGTGATGAAATGGATAGAAAACAAAACTATCAGGGGAAAACATAGGACAGCATTCCTTTTAGAAGGAACTCATTGTCCCAAGAGAAGCTTTCTGTATATACAAGACTAATTATCTTTGAGCGCACAACTAGCAACCCTACGAACATCCTGTTTCACTTGTCACACAAAGTTTGGGTTTATTTTGGGCTGTTTATAAGAATCATCAATTTCACTGACTTCATCTGGCTCTCCTACATCTTGAAGGTACGTAACATTTCCAAGAATTCTGCTGAAGGACTGTTTTCCCCAGAACTTACAGTCTCTTGAACTGAAGGCCACCCCAATGAGAAAGGCAGGGACCCACATCTACATCCACTCTGGCAAACTGAATACATTTCTCTGGATGAGAAAGAGGACAGCTACTGTAATTCCTACTTATGTGGGTTAATAAAAAACGTTTTGTGATTAAGCAGAAATAGATATTTGACATATACAACTAAATAATGTTGAGAAAAATAGCTGTCTTTGGACACCTTGATTTCTCCTTTTGTTGAATCTTTCTTATCAGGTTTTCTTAGAGTCCACTCCACCCACTGTTATCTAAAATTGTGTCGTACTTTTCCATTATTGCTTTCCTGTCATTCTTCTTCTTCTTTTATTTTTATTAGAGCTTTTTTTTTTTTTTTTTTTTTTTTTTTGGCTGTGCTATGAAACTTGCAGGATCTTAGCTCCCCGACCAGGGATGGAACCCAGGCCCTGGCAGTAAGAGAGCCGAATCTTAACCACTGGACCGCCAGGGAATTCTCTCCCGGTCATTGTTCTTAAACATCTCTCTTTTTTTTGTAATTTCATGATACACCTTTCTTTGCTTTTCTTAGTATATGATCTTTTTAAAACCTAAGTTTATTGGGAAACATTCTATACCACAACAGAATTTATTCGGTCTTCTTTCTTATCAAGACTATCTGAAAGTGTAACTCAGGGTTGCAATTCTAGAGCTTTGTCCATGCCTCCTGTGATACCTTACCATTTAGATCCTCATGTGGTGGAGCATGCCAACTGTTCTTGAAATTTCTGAAATGCACCTTCCTAATATCAAGTGGGGTGGCATTCAGCCTTCACCAGAATTAAGAATTCCAGAATGACAAAGTCACTTTCCCCTAAGTTGTCCTGCCATTCACAATCTTTCTTTGTTATTGAGAATTTGAATCAGAATAACAACTTCAGTCGCCACTTTATCCTCTAGGAAATGGATTATTGGGATGTTTCCTTACTCAGTAGTATGTCTTTATTAACAGGAATTCCTTAAAATGTCCGTATGGTGTGAGCAAGAAGGGACATGAGAGCAGGAGTGGTTTGATTTGCTCAGGATTCTAGGAACTTCCCCAGTTATCACCTGGACTAATTACCTGGAAGCATTTCTTTACCCTGATGCACAGGGCCATGGACTAACAGCATGGCGCCTTCTGGGATGAACTGGTTTTTTAAAAATCGCTCCTAAATTTTGAACTATTCCCCTTGTCCCCATCACAGCTGCCACCATAATGTGTCAAAAATGTACTTGTATAAAATGATCTGTACATCTATGTGAATATACATCAAATTAGCAAATATACTTCAGCTTGACAGGTTTGGGAAAGAGGGACTAAAAATATAACTAGCTTTAATCATAATCGCGAATGAAACGTACTTGTCACTTCTTAGTTAATTGTTGTGCAAGACAATTCACTTTCCAATTACTCTATCTGTTTAGAGTCACATATTTCAAGTGATTTGTGCTGGAAGAATAAGCTCATAATATTATAATCATACTTATTTTATGAGTTTCACTGATTACTGGGAATAAACATTGCTAGAAAGTAAATATTGCAAACAACTAAAATCTCACAACAAGCTTGTATTTAAATGTGCCCGTGCTTTGAAAATAAAACACAACCTAGTCTTGCAGCATTTTCCAAAGGCAGAAAATGACAGTGAACTATGATATCCATGTGACCTCATATTTCAAACCTATCTCTTTAAGTTACAGAGAGCATAGTTTGTGTAGCTATAGCCAAAAAGGTTATCAAAATGTTGGGCAAACTTCCCATTCATTGCAGTGGTGGCTTTCTGTTTGTCCTCCTTTTCTGGAGGGCAATTTGGAGATATATATTTTTGTGTATAAGAAATATGCTCATAAATATCTATCCTTTTAAATTCTCAGATTCTTTGGCCTAGTAATTCCACTGTCAGAATCTAGCTTTAAGAAATAATAAGGAACGTCAATGAAAATGGCCAAGAAAGAAACTTCAAAGTTTACCCATTCATAAAAGAAATTTTAAAAATGGTAAAAAAAAAAATAAAAACCTCTCATGATCAACTTTTTTTGGGGAAAACTAGATCTAGAACACTATGGATGAGGCAAAAGCCACCGTGAACTTGGTTAGCCACTCATGTCCCCACCAGCACAGTGTTACAGATGTATGAATGTGAACGAATAGAGTGCAAGCTTGGGACGTCTCTGTGCCTATCGCTAGGCACTGTGACCGGCAAAGGGTTTCTGCAGAGACAGACAAGGGTCTTTCATGCGGTGTGGATTTATGGAGCTGGTGGTGAACAGAAACACCCATGGCCATGGAGTCAACATATGTGAGCTCTTTCTGCCTTGTGCTTGAAGCAGGACTGGCCTTCTCTGGTATAAAGAAGTCCCTGGATTTCTTAGAAATTGTGTTAAAACAGGCCTTAAGAAAGAGATAGCTAATTGACTGCTAATAAGGATAGATATACCCTCAAGTGTCTATTTAGAAAAACGGAGTTGACTTTATTTGCAGTCTATCTGGTAGAATGGGTCATACGCAGCTCCCCAAAACACACATTGATAAGGTTTTTCTTTTTTTCTTCTTATAGAATGTTTTCTCCCTCTAAGTTCATAATTACCTTATTTTTTCGTTTCTTTTTAAAGTATATCTTTATTACTAATACTTCCCAAGCTAACAGATTATTTTTATTTTTTTTACATCTTTATTGGAGTATAATTGCTTTACAATGGTGTGTTACTTTCTGCTGTATAACAAAGTGAATCAGTTATACATATACATATGTCCCCATATCTCTTCCCTCTTGCGTCTCCCTCCCTCCCACCCTCCCATCCCACCCCCATTGATAAGGTTTTAGTGAGAGGCCGTTATAAAGATGGTAAGGAGGCTGCGGAGGAGGAATCATAAAGCAGATATAACATTCGGACAGATTTTGTTTTAATTTGCCAACTTAACAGAGGACCCGCGTATGCATAGCACTAATTCACTGACAGCAATATTTGGAGGCCTAGTTAAACTCATTATGGCTCCATAGCGAAATAAATTTTTTCTTCAACAGAATTCAGATCTCTGTACCTGAACTACAGGAATCTAAACTAGGGGTAAAGAGTCTTAAAATTAGATTACAATTGTAGATTTCAAAAAAAAAAATATATATATATATATATAACTAGAAATAATATGACAGACTAAATAATAGGTTGAATCAGCATTATTTTAGAGAAAGGAAGTTTTGCATTTTGAAAAAGTAGAGCACAGATGTTAATTTCCTGAAACAGTTAAATAAGGGCTGACATTTGGATGAATTCTCTGGGATTTAGTGATGATGGCGTGTTGGCAGTGGTGGCCATGTTGATCACCACTGCTGTGAAAATAATAAGCCAAAGTACGCAGTCCTTTCATTTTTTCATATACTTTACTTGGTTGTAAAATAAAGAATATTCAATGTTCTTAAGATTAAATATCTGAATATTGCTTCTGAAGGAGCAGCTGTCACCTTAAATCTAAAGTCTAGTTTGTTTACTGGCTGCATTTTATATCCTTTTGAAAATGACACAAAATGGCTATGAAATCATCGTTAAGTATTCTACAGGGGAATATAAACGCCCTTTGGTTACAGTGCATGTATCTTTATACATAATTCCAGTTTATTTTCCCTGGAATTATGTAAAAAGCCGTTTCTCATAAAGGTAAAAACGCTAGATGTTTCTGAGTTGTAATTTAGCATCAGAGTCAAGATTGTTTCAGAAAAAAGCTAGTGTTACTCTTTCATGCCTTTTAAGTGTCACTCGGCATATACTATATGTGATTTTGCACATAAAATAAACTTATATGCTTTTATGTCAGTGTTTTAGTAAATGTAAATGCGATTAAAATAATTTATAGGGTACAAATATGTAAAAATAATTGACACTAAGCAACTGGTTTTTACATTGTTTAACCATATTATTATTAAATAATTATTTCAGGTCATTATAGAAGAACTTGTTCCATAAACTGAAAAGGAAAAAACTACTTCTGTATCTATGGATTCTTAGAAGAAATCAATTCATTTGTAGATAGTTCTTAATATTGACACAATTACAAAATGCACCAAAATATTTTCATGGTATTTCTGTACATAAGTAGAAGGAAAACTCATTATGTTTAGGGTTTTGTGGCTTATTTTGCTTTGTTCATGAGAGAATTATCTTTGACTTTTT